TAATTACTTTTGCTCTTTTCGCTTTTTTTTTTTTTTGGGCTTTTGCTCATTTCTAGTTTAGAAAAAACTCGGAATTTCCAATGATTCTGATGAGGGTTCTTGATGGGGAGTGATTCCAGACGTGGGTCTAAGGTTATTAAATTTTTTCTTCACTCCCTTGTTTTTCAGATTTCTGGTTTTGCTTGAATTTTACTTAGAATTAATTCTCTGATTAATTGAATTATAATTGTTTTTTAATGACTGAGCTTTTCAGATTATGAGTTTTATTGGTATGGATAATTGGATTTGTGCATTTGCTTTACCAGATTACGTGTTTTTATTTATTAATTGATATGTGCTGATGGATGGTTGGATTAAACCAGTGATATTTTTATGTAGGATACACTTAACTTCTGCTCTCTGAATCTAGTCTTGTATTGGAAAATGATTGCAATTTTTGTTGCTCATTAAAGGTTTTAAAGTGATTAATTAAGATTGCTTATTTTATCTTGATGTTGGCTTGTAATTCTTGTTCCTTAGGTTTATCTTGCTGGTAAATTGCTTGTGTAGCATATCTTAAATTCTTGATATTATGTTTAAGTCGGATTGCTCTAAGTTTGATTAAATTTCAGAAATACAATTCTTTCTTGTAACATGCTACATTTGGACCCATAAGTAAATTATTATTATGCGCTCCATGCGGCAGTAGTACTCTTGTTACATTTTGAGAGCGTCCTTTTAGCACATTATATTTCCAATCTCGATCAAGCTGTTCTTTTGGTGCATGCCCAACTCGTGAGCGCTTCCTCTGAATGTCACTGTTTTTAGTTAAATTGTGTACTAATCAGCACGAGTTAGAGGCTGATGTTTCTATATATGTATGGATGCCCTTGCTACTTTCATTTGATTCTGTTTTTATGATGCAAAATAATGACGACCGCAAAATGGAATTTGTATGCCCATAGGTTCAGTAAGTACTTTTGTTGCATTATGTCATAGTAGAAAATCAGACACGTGTTGGGTTGCTTCTCCTTCGAGATATTCAGGGAAAAATATGTTTTCATCGCGTAATTCTATTCGATACATGTCGTACACGTCCATGACTTTTTGCATCCAACATCCAAAGTTATCAAAAAAGCGACTATCCTAGCATTGAGGCCAGATTTTCGAACTATGATCTGACTGCAAGCCATTTATCTTTATTACTTTTGTGGTATAACTTTCCATGTTTTATTAAGTACTTGACGAATGTTATTGTTCTGATTTTCTCCACAACACAATATTCAATTGGATTTATTGAACCAATTCCTAGTGCATTATGAATTGGATTTGATTGTGTTAATTTCAAAAAAATTAATTATTTACCTTGAACGTTTACTTATCCGAATATTCGTTGCAGGGATGGGAACAAAATTGCATTGTAAAAGCTACTTAACAGGGTATTACTCCATGAGGAACCTTAACGAAGACTCTAGCTGTATTAGCTGGCCCCTGTTTTACGGAGATAAAAGCTTAACAAATGGGCAATGTTACAATGGGTTCACACCAAGGATTATGACGGATGGATATCCTGGGTATGATAAGAATGCTTTAAGGCAGAAAATTCTTGAACATGAGACGATTTTCAAGAATCAGGTACCTTTTTTATCTAGTTATTCTCGTTTGATATGGTGCTCTAATGAACCGGTGATGTTGCAGAAGGCTGACTACATGAATATATTAATGTTGTCCAGGTTAATGAACTCCACCGTCTTTGTGGAATTCAAAGGGAAATGATGAAAGAAATCAAAAGGAAGGAACTACATAAACATTGGGCATCAGTCGAACCATCGTCGTCATTGAGTCGTCAAGGATCTCAAATGCCATCGGATGATGCTAAAAAATGGCATACAATGGGCTTCCCATTGTTAAATTCTGGTTATGGTACAACATCCATGTCGGGAGTTGAAATTGTTAATTCTCCTTCGAGTTGTACAAAAGGGTACAACATGCAGTCTGGTCATAGCCCTTTGCAAAATGGGTGTACTTCAAAGGACTCGGAAGCATTGGACTTGAGACCCTCCAAGGTAAGGAAGAAGTTGTTTGATCTTGAACTTCCGGCTGATGAGTATATTTATACTGAAGAAGGGGAAAAGTTACAAGACAACAAAAAATCCGGCATTTTGAGTTGCACTTTGAATGGAGATCAAAAAATTATACCTGAAAAAAGTATGGAGTTTTTCCTTGGTGACTCTGGTAGTGGAAAGATTTGTTGCCAGAAAGATGCTTGGGGTTCAGGTTCCAGTTTGAGGAGCTCTGATTTTGCCGATCTAAATGAACCTGTTCATGTTGATGAAGCAACAGCTCGATCGTCAGCTGATTTGTTTGGTTATACTTCCAACCAAGGAGAGACTATACGAATAAATCAGTCTGCCAAAACAAATGCAGGATTTCCTTTGTTGAATATATTTCGCGAAAGTAAAGTCAATGAAAGAGGGTGGCTCTCCCATATATATGAAGCAGGTAAAGAGTTTTAATGAATTTCTGTAATATCCAAATACTTCATCATTTTTACTGTTTTTTTATTTCTGCTGTGAGCTCGTGTCCATTATATCCTATGCTTTTTTCTGGTCATATCTTTAGCATTAGAATACAAATAAAGGAAATTGAAGAACTTTATGCATCCGATATCAAAATTTTAAAGAACTTCACCACTCCTAAATTTTCTAGGAAAATCATCATAAATATCTATTGAATATCCATAGTATTTTACGTCATCGTCGCTTGTAAAGTTGATTCTCTCTGTTGAAACCTTGTTTTATTCCCTACTTTCCTGAGAGAATAATCTTGAAATGACTATTGACTTGTATTTATTTGGCACGAACTTTTCCTGGATGCTGACAATTTTGAACTTCCCAAACCTTTAACAGGTCCCAGTAAAGGCAACCCGGGTTTGATAACTCGAAATTTCCAAGAAGCTATGGTTCCTATACTTAATCATCCTGCAGAAGTCCTGCTTAACCGGGCTCATCATCCTCCTGGAATAAATCCAACTGGACGTAGTGGGGAAGATATATGGAGAAATGAGTTGGACCATGGTTTAGAATCCTCGGATAGAAATCGCAATTACTCCAATTATACCCATTTGGAACCTGTTGTGGCTTCTTGTATCCCCCGTCCGTACCCATTCGTTCACTCCTCCAGTTTTGCCAATTCACCGTCTGAGTCCGTCTCATCTTGGGCAAAGCCAACAAGTAGCCTTGGCCAAAAGATAACCAAGTCGAGTAGGAGTATGCAGCCATCTGTTCAGAGTCGGGAAGCTTTTGGAGACAAGTGGAATGTTAGCTCTCAGTTGAATCCAGGTTCAGGAAGTGATATAACAATCTGTAATGGGTTCTATCTTGGGTCTGCCTTAGGTTCCAAAGAACCAGTTCATTTACCTTCACCCGACTCCGATTTTCTCAAGTGCGGTAGGGGTAATGATGTTGCATCTGAACGCTCAATTAACCCTGGATTTGAGAAGTTTCTCAAGGGCACCAATCATTTGAACTTGAACAGAGTAATGACAAATAGTTTTCCAAATGAGGCTGTTCCTCTGAAAGATCTCAACATGGAGGATAGAAATAGTTCTCCCAAAGACCACCCATCGTCGTTTCCTTGGCTTGGACGCAAACCAGTTGACAAAAATGAGGCTGCCAAAACTAGGAAATTGGAACTCTCTGAAATCTTTGGCTCCATTCAAGCTTCTTCTAATTTAAGTCTGAGAGATCTTAATCAAGTGTTTACTCCAAATGTCTCGCTGGCTTCAAATGATTGTGAGATCGGAGCTAAGGGGGAGATAGGCGAGTCTCAGAATAGTCGGAAAATTCTTGGGTTTCCAATTTTTGAAATCCTCAATGCCCCTAAAAACGAGTCATCGTCCCTTGTTTCCGAAGGAAAGAATGTAAAAACTGAAAAGAAAAATATATTAATCGATATTAATCTCGCTTGTGAGCCCGAAGAGCATATAGCTGCAGAAGAACTGATTGTAGAGAACAAGCTGCATTCCAACGGTACCAGTATCCGGAGTCAAATTGATTTGAACACTTGTATTAGCGAGGATGAACATCCATCTGCACCCTCTGTTGCAAGCAACAGTGCCAGTGTGAAGATCGTGCTAGAGATAGATTTGGAAGCCCCGGTTCTTCCTGAGCTGGATGATTTTATACCTGACAAAGAAGATAGACAGAATCAGGCATCTTTGCAATGTAATGAAAACAAAGCTGAACAGTTACAGGATGAAGTTGTCAGGAATGCGGCAAAAACAATATTTTCCATCTCATCATCTTGTCAGCAAATTCAAAGCGAGGATTCAATTTGCTGCCCGTCTGAAACTTCTTTGACAGAATCGATCCTCTGGTTTGCTGCTGTTGTCTTGTCATGTGCAAATGAATTGAAAGGAAAAGACAATGCACCTATTCAAGATCTTTCGAAGGAGATGGACGATTTTGAGGCCATGGCATTGCAACTAACGGAGACCAAGGAAGAAGATTACATGCCTAAGCCATTTGTTCCTGAAGTCCCTAAAGTGGAAGAAACGGGAACCACTTCATTACCAAGTAGATCCCGAAGGGGCCAGGGGAGGAGAGGAAGGCAGCGGAGGGACTTTCAGAGGGACATCCTTCCGAGTTTGGCATCATTGTCAAGGCATGAAGTCACTGAAGATATTCAGATATTTGGAGCGCTGATGAGAGCCAGTGGCCATTCTTGGAATTCAGGATTGACTAGAAGACATGGCACGAGATACGGTGGAGCTCGAGAAAGGCGATGTAAACTCGTTGACACTCCCTCTGCACCTGTTGAAAGTCCGGTTTGCACTCCACTGATGCAGAAACTTAACAATGCCGAAGCTGGTTTGGAGGATAGAAGCCTAACGGGGTGGGGAAAGACTACTAGACGCCCCCGCCGACAAAGATGCCCTGCAGGTAATCCTCCGATCGTCCCATTAACCTAATAAGGAAAAGAGGCTAAAATTTCTGGATTTGCAAATTTATAGAGGGAAGCAAGACATTGGGAAGCTTGCTTAATGACTTTCAGCAGCAATCGAGAGCCGAAGGTTTGATTCCACTTGGTGGCGAATTCAACCAACAGAGAAAGCAACCCTAGCCTTTTTTGATTTGCTTTCCTCATACTGCTAGTCGTAGTTCTTCACGCTAACGAGTTTATCTGCATCTTAGTGTAGTTCGCAATCATGCTTTATTCCTTCATTCAAGCAGCGAAGGAAGAGAAGAGCGGAACGAAAAAAGAAGGGGGAATAGGGTAAGGATTTTATATCCTAATCATATCCCTAATAAAAAAATAGATTCCTCTAGCTATCTTTTCAACTAGCTACAAGGCCATTAGAAAGCTCTATAACAAGAGTTTGAGGAACCTATGCTATCAAAGCAGCAGAGAGATCTATCTTCTAGAGTTACAGAATCAGACTTCTCATCCTTATGGTGCAGTGCCACCCTGTTATGGAAACTTTGACAAGCAGTCTACGNAAATTTTTTAATATTTACAGCAACACTACATAAATACAACTAATGACATTTCATTCGTAATTTTTACAAAATAACGTAGCCAATTCAAAAACATATAAATAACTATCCGTCCAATAAGATTAATTCAATGCATACAAATACCAAAAATTAGATATTAATATTACAACAAAACTACATAAAATATATTCATTTGCTTCAAATTAAAATGGGCTAATGGATTTTAAAAATGATTTGGGTTTTAAAATTAAAATTATGAAATAATCTGATTTATTTAATTAATTTGCTAATTTGTATGGAAAAAAATAAAATAATTTAATTAATTCATTATAAAAAATAAAAAAATTATTTAGTTTCGGTTCTTATTCGATTCTTGGTCTAGACCCGAGACCCGACCCAAACCCATCGATTCTCGATTCAGGTACCCGTTCGGGTATTTAATTTATGAAGATACGCTCGGTTCGGGACTTTTGGACACCCCTAGTTGAAATTGAAAATAAAATAAGTTATTTTGAAAGCAAATATTATATATTTATTTATTATTTGAACATCAAACATAACAAAGCTTTAATTCAACTAAAATGGTTTAGAATATTTTATTATGTGAATATGTGTTTGAAAATGTATATGAGAAATAAAGAGTTTTAATTTAAAGAGAGCCAAACATGGCTAAGTAAGACTGGGTCGATTGCCGTAACAGTAACTAAGGATGCAAGTTCATGCAATTTTCATCTAATTTATCTAAAACAATTCGGAAACAATTTTTTTAATTATAAAAATAACTTTTAAGCTTTGCCAAACATGCAAAATCATATTTGTTGGAACTTATTGTAATTTTCAACCAACGTTATTGCACACATTATGACAATACTAAAGTAAGGTTCAAAATTTCCGATCTAATTAAATCTATGAACCTAGATCCTCCCAATAATGTGTTCATTGAAGATTTTCTCTTTCAACTTTAAGCCCTGTTTGGCTCTATTTTTTTTTCCATACATTTGCAATTACAAATTTTACGATGATCCATAACTTTTATCGACTTTAAAATCATACATTTTATTAACTTTTATTAAATTAACTACAAAAATTAACTTTTAGCTAAATCGAACAGAGATAAGTAAGTAAGTTAGTGGTTGCGTGTCATTTGAACATTTAGTCCCGTTTGTTTCTCATTTTTCATCCATAAAAATGAAAAATATGACCGTTATCTATCACATTAATTCATCAATTTTGAATTTCTATATCTTATGTGTAATCCAATAACGACTATATTTTTCATTCTCATTCTACAATAATGAGAATTAAACGAGTCATTAGCTATATATATATATATATATATATATAAAAGGATTAAAATCTAAATTTTAATTTAAGTTAAAGTTTATTTTGATTTTGACCGATACCAAACCGGGATTATATAGAGAGAAAGGAGTGTTTAAGATTGTGCGGACGAGTGGAGAGAGAAGATATATTATAGTATAGTATACTGTGTGTCAGGATAAAGACAGACAGACGTGTTTGGTTGTCGTTTGTTTGAGTTCGATCGTACTTTAAGATTCTTAGATACTCAATTCACCAATCAAAATAAACCTTTTATTTTCATTTCTGATTTATCTCAGCATATCCTACTTTTGTCATTTTGTCCCCACCATTAATTTATTCAACTTACCAGACAATTAATATTTTAAAATATAGCCTCCGTTTGGTACACATTAAAATTTTTATTCTCATTCTTTTACTCATTTTCAACCATAAATTCTTTAATAAAATAATATATTCCATCACATTAATAAATTTTCTTTCTTTTTCAACCACACATTCTCCATCAATTTACTATTTCAGAATACATTCTCCCAAAATAATGTGGCTCAAACACACACATAATCTCGATATGACGATATCTCTTGAAAAAAAAGAAGGTTAAAAGGTTCGTTCAATTAGAACCAAACTCGTAGTAAATATTGATAAATCAATCATACCAAATTATATATGGGCGGATCCAGCACCCGACGAGTCGAGGCGGTAGCCTGTGCTGGATTCGTCGAGGAAAAAAATTAAATAAGATTTATGAAAATATATATATTATTGTATAATTTCTATTGAAAATCTATGTAGATCATTTGGGAGAGAGGATGCCTTTCCACATGAGAGACATGGGTTCGGGTTCCCTTCAACAACATTTTCTCTTTTAATTTTTAAATACGATAAATAATGACTAAATATTAACTAATAATTGTACCAATGTTCAACAAAAATAAGGATATCTTATATAGTAAAGGGGGCATTTTGTGCACTAGAGATATGAGGTTCAATTCTTTGATTTTCTATTTTTTGTTTAATTTTTCATTACAATAAATAATAACTAAACAATTATTTATTATTAGTTTTCGTTTTCGAAATAATTTCTTTAAAAAAATTATCGACTCAAATTATTACTCTATGAT